TGAGAGGAGGAGGAGGAGGAGGAGGAGGAGGAGGAGGAGGAGGAGGGGGAGGAGGAGGAGGAGGAGGACGAGGAGGAGGAGGAGGAGGAGGAGGAAGGGGAGGAGGAGGAGGAGGAGGAAGAGGACCAGTGTGAACCCAAGAGTCATCAACGATATTGGAGTAAACCCTCCCTCCAAGCTCCCTTTTCATAGGCCCCTACAGTGGTTCATTTCCATTGAAGGAACTGCAGCATGCCAGAACATTTTTCTCAGGATTCCAACGCCACGGATGAACCTGACTGTTGCGTCGTGATGATCCCGAATCGTGCCAGAACGCCATTCCTGGACCTCAACACCGCAAAACAACGTAGCTGTTCACCCTCATATTCCTGAATACTTCCAAACACCATTTCTGATAAGCTGATCCTGGGAATCCGTGAAACTCTTGCAAAGTCTAACAAATGCGCGTGGCGCGAAAGCGAGAGCCACATTTTGAAAAGCAGCCGCCCTACAACTCGCAGAGGAGGGCGAGTTGAGACAATTGTAGGTGGCCTTCGGAGGGCCCCCTCGTGACCACTGCTGGACGCAGCGCGAGAAACTTGCGCGATTGGACCCCAGGAAGGGTCAAGGGACTGGTTTTGAGTCTGCTGTTGTCTCAATTCGCCCTGCTCCGAGGCAGGGGGAGGGCTTGCGGGATGGACGGGGAGCTCGGGGAGGAGGGCCTGACATCTCTGCGTCGTGGGCACATTCACGACGGAGGGTTCTTGGTATTCTTTTGGCTTCGGGGGGCCCATGACGGGTCCGGGACCGTCAACGTATGACTGAGGATGAAGAGTTGGTCCCCCGGCAGGGCGGATATGGATATATTTTGGCCCCCGGGGGCCCAAACACATCCATATCCACCGCCCGCTGGGGCACCAGGACGTCGGTTCCCGGGCGGTGGATGTGGATAACCCCCCGCCCTGCACAGCGTCTCTCCACGGACTCCCTGTGCGACGGCCCGTGTGCATAGGGTGCCGTTGTCGATGGGGTCCAAAAGTGGGGGACAGGCTCAGGGGGAGGGCGGAACATCGCCGATGGATCGGCGGTGGGCCCTGGAGGGGGAGCCCTCGCGCCTCTCAGCGGAGGGCCCCCCCCTGGCCCTCATCGGCGAGGAGTGGGCGACTGGATGTCGATGCTCTCTTCCCCCCGAGCCAGCTGCCCCCCCCCTGCCGGCGCTCCTGGGTTATTCCAGGGTGCCCCTCTCGGGGGCAACGATAGGGGGGGTGGGCATAGGGGGGGATGCATCGATCGCCGATAGGGGCCCGATAGTCAGAGCGCGAATTACCGACCCCGCTTTCGCTTCCAGGCAAAACCAAGTCATACCACGCGCCTCCTCGTCAAGCGGCCTGACCAGTGCAGGCCGTAGTTTGGCATCGCTTGGTATCTCTTGGAAGCGAGGGTGGTCAAAAGCGAGGTAGGTTTGTTTGCCCCATAGATAGCCCCAACCGGCGTAGGAAGGTGCGGATTCACTACCGGGGGCCTGTCGCCGTCGATCTATTGGCGATGTGTCGCCGGTTTCCAGGTCGATGCATCCCCCCCTATGCCAGTCCTCCCCTTACCGTTCGGAGAATGAGGCCCCTCACGCTCGGTCGTTGAAAGGAGGTATTTCTCGATTTCCAGATCCCAATCCACTTCAAGTGCCCTCCTGCTTCAATGATCGAGTGGCTTCACCTTTTCCGTCCTCTTTGGGGGCGGGCTGAAACCAATCTACATTTAACGCCTTCCTACTTCATGGTTCTACCTACTTCTTCCGACCGATGGGTAATCCATGTTTGGTGTCTGGCTGGGGGGCAAGGCTCGTGTGGAGAGGGGCGGGCGGGAGCGGGAGGAGGGAGGAGCGTATACAAGCGGAGGAGTGGAGGAGGGCGGACGTTTTGAGGTTGGGGGAGACTCGGGAGACGGTAAAAGAGGAGCGAGGGGGGGAGAACGCAGGGAGCAGGGATGATGACGGACAGAGGATGGGGATGGAGAGAACGGAGCCGTGATGGAGGGAGGGGGAGAAGTCGAAGGAAACATGCGAGGGCAGGGGTGGAGGGAGGGAGGCAGGGAGGGAGGGCGGGAGGATGGGACCAGGAGGAGGAGCAGCAACAGCGAAGAGGTGTCCGGCAATAGTGGCGGTGATGCATCGGTGCCCACAGGCAGCGGCCTCGGGGCGACGATGTGGTGCCCCTACAGCGGCTGGGCTCCTGGTGCCCGCTGAGGCAGACGGGCGATGCAGGGCAGAGAGAAGCACGGGGGGTGGTGAGAGGTTGCATCATGCTTCTCGTCCTCCTTCCCGTTTTCCCCCTCCTTTCTGCCTCCCTCCTCCCGCTCCCTCCATCCTCTCTTCCCTCGCCGCATCCCACTGCCACTCCCTCTTTCTCCTCTTCCTCCCGCAACCATCCGCCCGACTCACTCCTCTCTCCTCCCAGTTCCCTCGTCCAGCTCCTACTTCCTCCCCCCGCCCTATACCTCATCCCCCATCCAACTCCTCTATCTTCTTCCTTCTCCCGCACCTGCACGTACTCAATATGGGTACTGCTTCCCTCTCTCCCTGATGCTGTGTTTAGCTCATCCACCTATCTCACACGCGTCGCTTTTCTGCTCAGAGTTGGCCTGCGCTCGCGTTCGATATTGCTCAGAACGTGCCCTTCGAACATGGTGGTCTTGCTCCAGCGCTGGTGCATCCCTGGATCGGCGCCCTGCTCCAGTCGTTCAAATTGGCGCTCTCGCCCCAGCGCGTGCCACACTTCTGGATCTGATCCGTTCACCGTTGCTGCCGTTCCCTCCCTGTCCCTCCTCCGCCGTCCCCCGGTCCTCCTGCTCATACTCCTGCTGCTGCTCCTCCTTCGGCCGCATAATCCTGCTCATCCGCCACCTCGTCCTCCTCCTCCTCCTCCTCCTTTTCCTCCTCCTCCTCCTCCTTGTTCCTCGTCCTCCTCCTCCTCCTCCTCCTCCTCCTCCTCCTCCCTCTCCTCCTCCTCCTCCTCCTCTTCCTTTTCCTCCTCCTCCTCCTCCTCCTCCTCCTCCGCGTCGCGCAGCGTACAACGCCCTCAATTTCTGATGGCGCGTCCCACGATGTGGCCATGTTCGCCGTCAGGGTCACACCCCTGCTGGCGGGCAGCAGCACATTCAGCAGCACACTGGAAGGGATTGCTGGGAGGGGCAGGACGTCAAATATGGCGCAAGCGTATCTAGTTTGCCCCTCTTGGCATCGCTCGGACGTGTGCATTTTTCCTCCGGCGGGGACCATCGAGGAGCATCCTTGATCATTTGGCGAAAAAACCAAGCACGAAACCGAAACAAACACTGGGAATGGACGTCCGAGCGATGGCCAGCCCTCCCCCTCTCGGCCTTCCCTTGCATTTCCTTCCCTTGCCACCTCCGCCAGGCTTCGGCAGGTCGGGCATCCCCTGTGGTTCTGGCTGCCGAGTTACAGTTGCAGTTTCACAGTTGCTTTCTGCCCATGGGTTTACAGCCGCTCCGCCCGAGTTCCAGCTGCATTATGTAACTTTAATGTTGTTCGTCAGAGGGCGACCGCCAACCCTGCCCTCCTTCCTCCTTTGCAGCTGATGAGGGGGAAGAGCTGAGAGAGAGAGGGAGGAGGAGGAGGAGGAGGAGGAAGGAGAGGAGGAGGCGGATGGGTTGATGGTAAGGAGGAGAGTGATGATGGGAACGTGAGATGGGGGGAGGTAGATCGGGCCTCCCCGCCCCTCCCCCCCATCCCCTTCATGACATGGCATCCCTCCTCCATCCCTCCTCCCCTCTCCGTTCTCCTCCCCCCTCTTCCCGCCACTTGCTTCCTACGTACAGTGAGCAGCTTGCAAGAGGATCACTCTCTTGTTCAAAAAGGGCTCGGTCGTTCCTTAGGTTTGCAGGTACGATTTTTCGTTCCCTATGCGCTATGTATGTCTGGTCGTTCCTTATGCGTCACTCCTTGGAACAAAACGGGGCTGCGTTCCTTATTCATCTTCCCTCAGGTCCGGCCGATGACTGTAGCCATTTGGGGGCAGGTCTGGAGACAGGAGGCGCAGTACTAGAGAGCTGCTCTGGCACGAGAGCGCGAGCGGCCCCGGCAGCGCAGCGCCAGTTCGCTGATTACCTGCACGCTCGGGGCAGACCCATAGGCGCCTCCTTGCCTGCTGGGCGTGCTCGTGGACGACCTCTGCGCCTCTCGCGGGGGCTCGTCCAGAGCTGCCGGCTGCCCCTCGGGATCTGAGCATTTGGGGGGCGTCGCTTCCGATGCTGCTTCTTTGCTGGACATCCCGGCGGGGCGCGCGCGAGCTATTTTCTTGTCACACCTCCTCGCCTACCGCGACGTCGCGGGGGCCGGCGGCGCATCTCCCGCCGTGGCGCCGGGGCGCTCGTGGACGACGTCGGTTTGCAGTCCATGTCCGAAAGCCCCAGGGGCCTCAAGTGCTTCCCTATGGCTACCAAGGTCGTTGTGCTGGGCCCCGAGTGGCCTGGCGCGATCCCGAAGGCCTCGAAGTCGGGCGGCCTCTCTGGGAATCGCAAGGTTCGTGGCGCGCGAGACAAGCGTGCGGGTTCTCTCAAGGCCCCCATGCAATGCTCGCGCGAGGAACCTCGGCCATGAGCTCTCATGCGGAGAAAAAGCGTCTCGAGCAGTTTCGAGCTGGGCGGCAGAGTTGCTCGTCGTTGGGGAAGGCGGCCGGGCGGCGCGCGACGTCTCCACGGCGAAGTGGTGCCTCGCAGTCTGTCGGCGGCGGGGCCGCGGTAGCAGGCGTGCGTGACGCGGCCCTCCGCGAGCTCGGACTCTTTGCCGTGGTGCTGCGATGCCCCCCCCTGGGAGGTCCTCGAGCGGGGTCGCAGCACACGTCGTCAGCAGCGCGTATCACCAGTCGCAGCATGTGCGAATCGGTACATCACGCCACGCTCCAGGCTGCACTCGAGCTCGCAGATGAACGCGGGGCTCCAGGACCCCGCCCAGTCGATGACATCGCGCACCGGGCCAGCCTCGGGAAAAGTTTGGGGAGAGCCCGTCGTGGGTCCAAGCCGGAGGAGATGTAGGAGCTGCGTGGCCGTCGCTTCGGAGGCTTGCCGGGGGTTTCATGCCCAGCCACGCTGTGGCTGGCGATCTTGGCAACGCATGCGATTTGAGCATCGCTGGCCCTCAGGGCTGCCGGACATCCCTGATTGGGGGTGCCTAGGGGCGGCGGTGCGAAAGAATGTTGCGACGCGTTCACACGGTGGCTCCTTGAGCATTTCCTCCTGACGGGCATCGCGCGCTGCATCCTTCTGCGAAGAGTATCGTGTGCCCGAGGAGGCTCGGGACGCTCCAAGCGCACTGGGCAGACGACACTACTCGTTTTGATATGCGGGCTGGGGGCCCTCTGAGGTCACGTCGAGCTCGTGGGAGCAGCATTTACGAGTGTTTCGGACATATTTCAATCATTGTCTTCCGCTCGTGGAAGGGGCAGAACGTGCGTCGGAAGTTCGGGATCGACTTGTTTAGGCCGGCGCGGGTCTCGGACAGCAGGCTCGGAATAACGCGTAACTCGTCTATGGGAGTCCATAGCCTCGGCCGAGCTGAGAGATGTGCTATCTAGATGGGCCTCCAATGCCAGCCTGACCATGTGTTTGTTCGCGACCAGTTTGAGTTCCCTGGCCCAGGAGGGCTTGGGTTGGAAAGGTTCGATGCAACACGGTCGAGCTAAGCACGCTAGAGTCTGGAGAGAGATTGGTGCCGTTGCCAGTGACCGTTCGCCCGCTGTTCCCCCCGCCGGATGGCACATCTTGGACACAGATGGCAAGGAATCTCACATAATGGCGGAGTATGGAGGACCAGTTCGTGACCGCGACATGAGATCATTCACGTTTTTTCACAAGGGCTACGGCTCTTCTCGTCCCGCCCAAATGGGCGCGGCTCTACCCGCAGTAGAGCCGGATGGACGCTCGCTCGCTCGCTCGCTCCCCCCGCCGGATTTCAGTGGGCACCAACGTGCCGTGACATCGACGGAGCGGTGGAGGTTGGCGGATCCATCGAAGGCCGGCTCCGCAAGACTTTTGCGGATCTCTTTGCCAAGTGCGGAGCCGTTTTGCAGATGCTAGCCGCTGCGGTCACCGGGAGCACGCGTGCCGCGCTGGCCGAGCATGAGGAGGCGCTGGGCTACATTGCTGAAGGGGGTCAGCCAGTCATCGCGTCTCAGAGATACGGGCGGGGCGAGTTCCCCCGGCCAGCCTAAGCAGTTTACCAGGTGTGGCGGTGCACGCGTCTCAGGATCTGCAGGCGCCGCGCCTGTGGGACTTCTGTGAGCACGGAGGCGTCTCTGGGGCATCGCAGACGGGGATGTGGGCGCAGGTGCTCCCCGATTGTTGTGGCGCGTGCCTTGAACTCCGATTTTTTTCCGGGCGACTTATGAGCAGTGGGTTCCTCCGAGTGGCCCCCTGTGTGGCCTCCGCTCTTGCTGCCGCCGAAGCTCAGGAGGGGAAAAAACACACAGACACAATTAATCGTCGATTCCCAAGAAAATATGGGAAGTGGGGGGGAAGACAAAACCCCAGAAAATATAGGAAAATATAGGGGATCGTTTTATTTGTGTGTATTTAGTTGTGTGTCCTGGGGCCCCTTCAGAAGCCTGCCTCGAGCCTCTTGGGGTGGGGCCCCCTCCTGTGGCCCCCGCCTGTGGCCCTGGAGGCTGCCGCGGGTCTGCCGCCGCAGCCTGGAGGCCGATGGAGATCAAGCAGAGGTCCCGACGCCCTGCTCGCGAAGCTTCGGGCTCCGAGGCACCAGGATTTTTTTTTTGTTGTGTGTTTTCGATGCACTGTTGCTGCCGCTGCGCTGGCCACTCTAGTCCGGGCCCCCTGTGCGTTTCACGGTTGGGCCGGGCGACAGGGGGGGATTGGGAAAGGGGGGGTTACGAAATCTGCTGCATGCAGCTGGTTTCGGCCCCACCGAGGGGCCCATTCCTCGATACATAGCCGCCTCCGGCGCCGGGAGGCGCCGGGAAAATCAGCTACGTGAGCTGATTCTCACCCCCCCCCTAGAATATATGGGGAATCCCTTTATTTGTGCGTATGTATTTTTGTGTCTCAGGGCCCCTTCAATCCTGTCCGACCGATCCTCATGTTGCCGCCGGCGTTCCCACTCCAACCGGCACCACCACCCCCAGCCATCCTCGTCATCTGCCCACCGTGCCCCCCTTTCCTGCTCCTGCTTGCTCCTCCTGCTCATGCGCTTCCCCGTTCGCCCTCTTTCTCCTT